AATAAACTCATTTGGGAGGAGTGATGGATTCTTCCTCAAATGCCTGCCACATTCATGCAGGGTCTTGTTTTCACTCTCCAAATTATTGCTTATTGTGATTTGGTTCTATGTGGTCATCACACATAGTAAAATACAATATTTAAAAATTAATTTGGTTTCTGACAGCAAAGACCTCATTCTTTAGCCTCATCTTTTTATATTCATGTTTTTCTCTGTGTGATTTTAGATGTTTTCCTCATAATCCATGACTATACAATACACTTAAATGGACTTGAATCTTCTCCCCAAGGCACAGCCTAAAGACAACATGAGATGAGTAAATGCAGTTCTAATCTGGTTGATTACAATGGTCATTCCATATTATTTTTAAAGACTGCAAGTCCTGTTTTCAGAAAGGAGCCTGTCTCCCTGTGTCAAAATATCCTCTGCTTTCAGTGCATCGAGGAGACCTCGATATTGATGCCATTTTCCCCACTGGAATCTGAGATCTGTTGAAGAGCTGGCAGCAAGTAACTAGAACATCAGTACCCTCTCTACAGAAATCATGCAGGTTTGTGAGTTGTTCTGGTTCAAGGCTGTCTCCTTCTTTGCCTTGAAATTTTAATTTCCAGTAGATACTCTAAACAGCAGCAAATCTGAGTCCAAAGCAAACTTTTCGTGTTTAAGGCTGCAGCCACCTTGTTAATTCTTTGTCAGGAACCACAGTGTAAGATATTTGTTATGATGGTTTTTAACATATGGAAGATCAAGATCAGATTCCTAAAATATTCTGAAAACCAGTTATAGCTTTAACAGTGACCATGGTTAAATATAAAGCCTAAGTAATTTGTTCTATTAAAAAGCCCAAGTCTTATTTTTATCAAGTGATGTTATGAGGGCATGTTCTAAATCAGCCAAAAGCTCTTGTAGCTACAAGAGCTTCACTTTTGCAATTTTTAACAGCCCAGTTAAGTTGGTGCATATCCTTGTGCATGGTGTTAGTACAGAATTCCTCCTCTGACACTGACCAGATCAGGCAGACTTTAGAAGATGAAACATTTGAAGAAGACAGGCAAAGGAAATGCAAGAGCTGAATGACAACATTGAGTTAATTTTTCCCCTGCAAAGATGAGTCTCATTTAAACAGAGTCAGGTTGTGATGGGTGCACAGGACTAGGAAATAAACCCATACATTTCATGCATTCATGTAACACTTCTCCTGACATCCCTCTCCGTGCTGTCCTGCACTTCTCCCTGTGCATGGGCCCAGTTTAGGATGACACTGTTGCTGCTGCTGGGCAGCTATTCCAGGCATCCTTTCAGCAGAATGCGTATTCCACGCAGGATTAGAGAATGGTTTGTCTGATGCCCACTGGACAGGCGGTGTCGAGCAGGGTCAAGGCAAGCATGCAGCAGAGCTCTGAAATTTCCTTTTTGATCAAGCAAGGAGTGAGCATATGTTGGCAGATGGAATGTGTGCTCAACTTACTTTAGTGGAGTTTCAGCACTGACCTTTTGCTGCATTCCTCCAGCAGCAGTAAAATGGTTCTGCTTAAGTAAATGGACATAGACCACATGCAAACCCAGCTGTCTTCTCCAGCCCACCATTGCTCCTACTGTTACAAGAAGCCTGGATGCATGGGAATGTTGTAATTTAATGTGTAATAACCTCTCATGGAAATAATGTTATGAAAGTTAATGGTGCTCATGACACAATAATCTCCACCTCGAGGAGCCAGTTTAAGGACTGCCCACAGAAGTCCATTTAATAGGTTCTAGGTTGCTGTACTTTATATTAAAGTCTTCCTGACACAAACAGGAAGTTAAAGGCTCTTACACCACTCCAGCTTGGCCCATCCTTATCTCTCTTTGACTGCTTTATGTTTTCCATCCTTTGTTTCTCTAAGTGTCTGGCAGGTCTGGCTCTGTATGACTCCACAATAAAAATGAAGATGGATTAAGCAGAAGTAGGTGATCCACAAGGCCAGTTATTAGTGGGCACAGTGTTTCTCTAAAGAGCAAATTGTGACAGTATCATGAGTAAAAAGAAGAAAATACAAAAAAGACGTGGCCAGAGCCTGCCCTTCCAAATTCTTGATGCCTTTTTCATGGAATCATAAAATCATTTGGGCTAGAAGTAACCTTTAAAGGCCACGTAGCCCAACCCCTCTGCAATGAGCAGGGAGAGCTTCAACAGATCAGGTTGCTTAGAGCCCTGCCCAGCCTGACCTTGACTGTTTCCAGAGATGGGGCATCCTCCACCTCACTGGCCAATCTGTGCCTCTCTGGGCAACCACTGATCACCCTGGTGTCCCACCTCTACACTGGCTCCAGCAGCTCCATGCCCTCCTGTGCTGGGCCACTACTCAAGCTTGTCCAGGTCCCTCTGGATGGCACCCTGTCCTTCAGGTGTGTCACTGCACCCTCAGCTTGGTGTCATCTGCAAACTTGCTCAGTGCACAATCAATGCCACTGTCCATGTCATAGATGAAGACATCAAAAATGACTTGGTCCCATTACAGGCCCCTGAGGGACACCACTTCTCAGCCATCAGAAGGTGCTGACTCACCTGCTGGGTCTCACACCCAGGCAAAGGGGCTGACTGTCCTCATCCATAAATACCTACATGCTGTAAAATAATCACGAGGAGAAGGAAAACTAGAAAATGTTGTTGTCTTCTTGCAGCAAAAGATTTCCCACTGTAAGCAAAAGTAAGATATAAATGTAGTGTGTGCCATTTTGCATGTAGCAACATCAGTTTGCATGACTTGCTCATAATTTATGGATTGCTTGAAAGAAAGAACCACTTCCAATGGGCAGGGAGAAGTGCCCACAATGGCTAAAAACACATCCAAGATAACAACTGGTGGTCAGGCACCGGTTTCCAAACAACTACTCAACAGAAGCACTCACATCCTCTTGTGTAAGCTGATCAAGCTTGGGGCTAAGCTCCTGCCAGTGACCTGCTGCAATTTCCATCTTTGATTGGTGAGCAGGGAGGGAGATTCACTTCTCAAAAAGGGAGGATTGGCTGGCCTGTGCTGGTAGGATTTCCGCTGTGGCAATAGGCACAGAGTACTCTGATAACTTGGGTGCTGCACACACGAGGAAGGGCGGAAGGAAGCAGCCCCTGTTTGTGGGGTCAGGCTATTTCTGCTGGGATTTAAAACTGCTCTTTGGAACAGAGTTGAAACAGTCACTATAAATGACTTGCATGAGAGAGTACAGAGCATTTTGGAGGATTATAATTTATGCCAGGCAGGAGCTGTTATGGTTCAGTTTAAGGAGCTTAAAATAAGACTTTTGGGAGACAACCAAACCAGCTTCAACTCTGTTAACTTCCCAGTTCAAGATACTCCTAAATTGACATGTACAGGGTCTGTTCCTGCCTGGGGGCCAAGGGTTTTGAACTCCTGTTGAATCCACTGGATTTCAAAGATGCTCTGATGATATTTGGCACTGTTAGGAGTAAGCCAATGCCCATTAGGAAAGAGGTGATAGTGCCTTGAAGTATACAATTCTCTTTACACTTCATTTTAACATAAATTAACTTAACTTAAGGATTAAGTTATATTGATTTCTCCCCCCAAGGCTTTGTCTTACATGGAAGGTACCTCTTGTAGGAAGGTAGAGTTTTTCTCCATGGGATCCTCCTTTCTGCAGATTGAAAATCAATCACCTTATGAAACCAACTGGAAATAAAGCACAGAATCTGTCTGGACCCAGATGGTCATCCACATGCTTCCTAAAGATGGAACAGAGGGAGAGAGAAATCAATCAATTTCTGCTGACCAAACAGAAAGGCAGACATGAAGTCCTGTCTTGCCATCTCCCAGGTAGTTCAGAGTACTTTATACAAAGGCATAGCTGTATCCTCCTGTTTTCTTGGAAATGGCACAGTGGCTATCACTCCATTCTCACAAAAATATATGTACACTATGAGACTGATTCCTAAGTTTCCAGATATACTGCTTTTCTAATCTTCCCTATTTTCCTTTATTAGTTTTATCCCTGTTAGTTAAGTTGAAACTCTTACTGGAACATGCAGTCCAAACCCACCTCCTCTTTAGTCTTTGCATCCTTTAAATACTTACAGATGGTTTTCATATTCCCCTTCAGTTGCCATTTAGCCAGTGTTGCTCTGTGTGTATCTCTTCAAACTTAGCACCCTTGGAAGGGCACACAAGGCCAAATTCTGCTCTCAGTTATATCTCTCTAATTCTGGAGTAACTCAGCAAAATCGATAGACATTGAATTAACACAAGCAACATGATGCAGAGCAGAAGGTGAAAGGCAAAATATAAAGCAGGATGTCAGTCAAAACTAACATCACATCCTGTGAGCCACAGACTGCACAAAGTTGATGCCTTTTCTATCACGGTATTTTTTGCTGCATTCCCAGTGATTAGAGTGAAGATTTAGAAGAAGTTGTGAACTGCAACAGCCCTCAGGAAGATGACAGTACCTAACCATGGCTCCTCTGAGAAGTGAGATACAGCACATCATTGTGTGCTGGTCCATGCAGTGTGCTTGCATGATTTAACACTGATTTTAAGAGGTTTTCTATGTTACATAGAATATTTGATATTCATATTTCTGTGTGTGTTACAAACATGACACAATAACCTTGTTTTGTTCAGTGACTTTTTTTTTCCCTGTGTGTATTCATAATTACTCCAGCAGAGAACATTTCTTCACCTTTTCTCAGCCCTTCACAGATCTGGTTGAAAATACTCCTCTATGTATGTTCTGAAAGCAGAGAAACTGGCCAATGAGACCAGAACTGAACATCACAAACTGAAGTCCACAGTACAGTTCACAATTAAAAAAAAAAAAAAAAAAAGTCATGTGAAAAGTGCATGTCCAGTGGAAGGGCTTGCTCAAACTGTCTCATCTTCTGCAAGCTGCACTTGGCAGAGCTTGCAACACTGACTTCACATCCTAAGTTGACTCATTTCCATAGCTTTTCTCTTTTGAAGCTTTTATTATAAAGGGCAAATGTTGTTTTTCTCCCTTTGCAGGTTATCCTGACAGAAGTGGGAAAGGAAATAAAGAACTATGAACCACCATTCTTTACACAGGATCTGGCCTAACCTCCAAGGAATAATCTTCAAAAGAACTTGTTTCTAAATGTTGGGGTAAGATTACACCTTAGTGTTTAAATGCTATTATATCATAAAATCAAGCTCTTCAACTTACACAACCTGAAATAAAACTGTTTGTCCTTATACATAATAATAACAACATATTTTTCTAATTCTGTGGTCCCATAGGACAACAGTCTTGTGGTTGCTACTGACTTCTATCACATCCAGTATATAGTATGAAGTAATAAATTTATTTTTATGCAGCACTGATGGTCTGTCCTGAGAGCTCCATGAGGCAAAGATACAAGAAGAGGACAGGCATCTCTTTACTCAGCTGACCTGGTGTGAATACCAGGGAATAGCTCTGTATTTTTGGGTATAGCACTGGCAAAAAAAAAAAAACCCAAGCAAAAAACAAACCAGTAAACGAGGCATGAAAGACTATTGCTCAAAATACTACACAAGTATAAATTAATCTTTCCTCTAATGAGGGGGAAATGAGGTACAGATGCAATAAACTGATCAACTTTTAAACTCACAGAAATACCAGAACTGGGTTAGAACATGCAATCTCAATCGTCTCAGATGGAACTGGTTGTTCTTTAAAGCCCCTTCCAACCCTAACCATTCCATCCTTACATTATAGCCCCTCTTCATAATCACCTTCTGTGGCTTCGTTCACCTCTCATACAACAGGAAAAGTTATCAAATAATGCTTTCATCATTAAGATTTTGCTGTCCAGAGTGAACTACTGCAGAAGAAAGGACCTCGAGTATGACTCCCACCTGTCTGGGCAGTGCCACCTTCTAACAGTGACATTTCTGGCATTGCAGCAGGGTAAAAGCACCTGGCCAGGGCAAGGTCTGTACATGTGTTTCACTGCCTGCATTCTTCTCCTCCTGTTTGTCACCAGTTCCACAGAAGCAAACAGACACAGGTCACAGAGCCCGTGACCAGAGGCGTAGGGCACTATGTTATATCCTTGACAAATCCAGACTCTTGGCATTTTTTTTTTCCTTGCAATAACCTCAGTTCACTCTGTAAAGGGCACCTGCAGTTTACAGTGGTCACCATGAGGAAGTTAAAGAAGCTAAACAATGGCATTTGCTCCTCACCTCTCCCTGTGGCAAGAATTTTTTATTCTATCCAAGCCACACATATAATTTTACACGACAGTTTGAAAGCATTAAATATTGTCACCCTTCCAAGGAATCTGCACTGCATATACAAATAGAAAACCTCATGCCCATTAAGTCATTTTCCTCCTAATCTTGAATAGCTTATCATGACAGAAACAGAATTTCTAAAGTGGTTTCACACTATAAACTGTAGTCTGTATTCTACAGCCAGGCACAGACCAAACAGAAAGTACAGTTTAGGTCAGCCCATCTCTATATCCTGCTTTTCTCCAAAGACAGCTAAAATTCTGCTGCTAGCACCACTTCCTTGAGAACAGGTATGAAAAATGGGAGTAATTAAATGCTCTGTCGTGGATCTGCCAGACAAAGATGCCCTTTGGCAGGCTTATTCAGCATTTACAAGGGTCACACTTCAGCAAGCAGAATTAATAATTTTCCCATACCATTCCTTCCCCTTTGGCTTTCCAAAACCTCACCTTGTTGGTTCATTTCAGTATCAAAGACTAACAGGCTCTTCTGTTAACAAGTTTGGATGCAATCTGCTGAGGACTGAAGACAAACATTTCAAAAATAAAAGACAAAAAGCTGAGTTATTTTCCTATAAATTAGTGGCAGTTTCACCCAAGTGCTAAATGGAGTCTTAATGCTTTGGTAAAAATACTAGCCATATTTTTTATTACCAATGAATCTAGAAGTATAAGCAAGATACTTGCTCAAGAATTGTTGGTGTTCTTTGTTGGTAGATTTATTGACTGAAGGAAAATATAAAATGAATATAAGTTTTACACACAGATAAACATCACAACTCCTAAAATGGAATAGCTCTGCCACCACACCTTTCCCAGACAGAATAGTGTTAGAGCACTTACTTTTCTGGGACCAGAGTTTGATTTCAGTTTAAGGCCAGCAATGTAAAATGAGCTGTAACAGGATTAATCCCGCTCCTTCTAGAGGAATTTACATCCTTCTTTTCTAGAACACCAAATTAGGTCACATTACTTACATGATTCTTCTTTAGAAGCTGCTGGCAGAGGAAAAGAAAGTATTTGACAGTTCAGCAAGAGATGTTTGCTGGGTCACTTACACAGCTTCCTGCAGCATGCAAGACTTGATAAAAATACTAAGCCGAGTCTGTTAATTACACAGTGACTTTACAATCATCATGAAATAGTGAATATTCCTTTGGTTCTCTGAAAATTTAAAATTATGCAGCTTCCCCGAAACAGAGCTTTTCAATCTTCACCTTTATTAGGCTAAATAACACTTTAAAAGATCACTATCAAGAGAGAAAATAATTTGGGTTTTAATGGGCTTCCAGGTTCTCCAGTTTCCAGTGCAGAATTTCAGCAGTACAGAGGAAGGGGTTTCTGATTCAAAGCTAGGTCTGCCAGGATCCCCACGAGTCCCACACAGCAGAACTGTGGATTTGGATATCCCACCACCTAGAACCCTCATCCTCCACAGCTGCTTTGCTGTCAGCCCAGTGATTCCAGCAATCCCAAGAATTCCAGTTCCTGACAGGATTTTCCCTGTGTCCATGAAGACCTGCTTCCAGCTTCTGGGGCCACAGATGAGTTCCAAGATTGGCCATGATGGGGGGAAAAGGAGTTCCCACTGCTCCCCTTATTCCCCATCCCTGGGATGCAGGGGTGGTCTGGTGGGGTTCTTTCGACTGGATTCAAGTTTGTCCCAAGAAATTTCATAGCTGCATCTCAAGCTGTCTCCCTGGCATTTTTCATTAGTCATAAAACATTAATAATTAATAAGCAGCAAATATAACAGGGTCTAGAACACTTTAGTGTTCCTATAAAGTTGCTCATATGGTAAACTTCTCAATACCTGGAAGTCAGGAAATAAAGCAAAAAGCAAACATAGTAAAAACAAATCTACTTTAAAAATATAATTATTGTCACAAGTGTATATTAATTTTTTAAAAACACTTCCATGATCTACAAAACGCAACAGCGTGTTTGATTCAAGCGTTTCATTTTGCAGCAGTAAAATAAGGAAATAGTACATTTTATTCTGTGGTCACTACAACAAATTTCATTGGTTATTCTAAGAAAACACCTGACACATGCTCCATGTTCTTCTAAAAGTCACTAAGAAAATTCAGAATATGTTTGTAGAAGCCAGAAGACCCCATTACTAGCATGACCACTTATTGCTACTACCTGTGTATGAGAATTACCCATCTATTTCTGTGGATTTGTTACAAGTTATAATGAATGTCTTTCAGATAAAGGTGAGGAATTCATCATCAATCCTGTGCTGAAACAAAGCAAGAGGCCAAAATCAACTGCTACCAGCCAAGTACAGACAACATTTATCTTTTATTACAACACAATTCTTGAAATTGCAACTAATGCTGCTTTGGGGTCATCAGTCCACAGGAAAGACATCCTAGTCCAGAATCTCCTTAATCTCATTCTCTGCTATTAGGATACCGGTTAGTGCCCCACAGAAATCAGTGCTTGGAGGTCAGAGTCAGTGTGGACGATACTCTGAAGATCTGTGGCAGCATGTTACTCAGCTGGTAAAACATTTCCTCAGAAATTGTCTGGAAAGAAAAACAAACAATACACACCAGGTAAGCTTTGTCTTTTCATCGTTTGGAAGAATTAAGTCTCTCTCAGCTTTGTTTCTTGGTATTTAAGAGAATTGCTGCTGTTCAGAAGACAAAAATAATTTTTAAACTGTGTGTTATAGTCCTATTGAATCCAGTTAACAGACTGACCTAAAAATACCATCTGTATATTTATGTGACATACCCACATAACCATTTCCAGTAGATCTTGTTCCAGGGATTGATTATTTCTGCCAAACATAAGCAGGACAGTGCTGCTTATCTACAGGACAATTGCTCTCTACATTTCAGGACTAGATTCAACTTTGCAATTTATTTGTGCCTTCTTCCTTGCTCAGCAGCTTTCTAATTTGTCAGGAAATACATGTTATTCCTTTTCCAACATAATTCTACTTGTACTGCTTTTTAGAACAAACCTTGTGCTGGCCATCTTTGGATATCTTGCTGTTTCTGAAGATCAGCTAGAACTCCAAATTAAATAATTTCAGACTCTAAATCAGAACTTAAAATACCTGAAGTAATTAATTTTTTTGTGAAAGCATGACCGAACTTTTCTGCATTGCAGTTTTCCACATTGTTAGACAATATGACTAAAAAGTCAAGTTATGTAACACAAGGTTAGCCCATCAGAGTAATGAACAGAAAAATGTAATTAAGTAATTAACAGAAAAAAGTACCTTTTTCAAAGGTGATGCATTTACTATTTGTAAAAGTGAATTTTCCAGTTTGAAATTTTAGCATCCTCTCAGAAAATACTACTGGGTATTCAAAAATATAAACCCACCCACACTCCTCCTTTTATAGGCAAGGAAACAAAACCAGATTGATTAAATTAAATTCACTCAAAAGGGGCAGGCAATAGCAAAAAAAATCACAACTAGATCTGCTGACATGCAATGTTCTACCAGCAGTCTCCGAGGCTGGATATAACTTTAGTTTCACCTACCTGTGGCACCAGGAATTGTACAGTCCGAGAAATCCCTCCATCCCACGAGGCCATTTCCATCATGAAACCTAAAAAACCAGCATTGACTGTGTCTGGATTACCCATGCAGTACTCCCCAGCAGTTAGAGCATGAGCAGGCAGCGAGGAGTTTTCACACACAAGTAGGATTTGAACTGCCTTAACTAGGGATGTCCTCAACTGCCTTTAAATCAGACTTGGGCAGTCTGAATGAAACGTAGAAAAAAACCTGAGCTCTGAGGAATACCTACACTAAGGACAGAATTAGCAGTCCTTCTGTGCAGCATAGTGATACACAGCAGACGTGAGAGTTTGACAGGAGTTTTTTCCATGCCTTCCTTTCACTGAGAAACAGGGGGGACCTCACTGTGGCCTTGCAGTGCCTGAAGGGAGCCCACAGGAAAGATGGAGAGAGACTCTGGACAAGGGCCTGGAGTGACAGGACAAGGGAGAATGGCTTCACACAGACAGAGGAGGTTAAAATTGGATATAAGGAAGAAATTGCTCCCTGTGAGTGTGGTGGGGTTGCCCTGGACCCCTGGAAGTGTCCAAGGCCAGGCTGGATGGGGCTCTGAGCAAGCTGGGATAGGGGAACATGTCCCTACCCATGGCAGGGGGTTGAAATCTTTCAGGTGCCTTCCAACCCAAACAATTCTATGATTCTATGGGGAAAAAGCTCAGCACTCATTTATTGCTCAAGTAATGAACTACCAAAGGCCATGGGCATCCTCTCATGGCAAATAAGAACACTCAGAAAAATACCTGTTTAATAGAAGTGGATGATATAGATGACATACCCGTTGTGAACTACTAAAGGTCAATTACTATGGGAAGAGGTTCTTCATGCAGGTAGTTGAAAGAAAGTGACTGGTTCAACTGTTTAAGTGCGGCACAAAAAAATGCAGAAAGTAAAAACACCACTTGGAAAGACAAAAAACCATGCTGAGTCATGAGGACTATTTCTTCCTAACATACAATCTAAACCTGCTGTCAGTGTGAAGCCATTCCCCCCTTGTCCTGTCACTCCAGACCCTTGCCAAGAGTCTCTCTCCATCTTTCCTGTGGGTTCCTGTCATGGTTTGACACTGGCGCAATGCCAGCGCCCCCATGAAAATGCACCTTCCCAAAGAAATGCTGAGAGATGCGATCCAGAGCAGAGCAGGCCCAAGCTTCATAACAAATGGAAACAACTTTATTAAACCACTACTACTATGAGACACACACAATAAATCCAGAATGAAAACCTTTCAAAACATTCCTCCTCCCCCCACTCAAACTCCAACAAACCACAATGAGACACAACTCGGACCTTCAATCAGGTTATCACCCTTCAATATAATCAATACTCAGTCCATCAAGGGCTCTGGAAGGCCACACTGAGGTCACCCCAAAACCTTCTCTTGTCCAGGCTGAGCAACCCCAATTCCCTCAGCTTTTCCTCCCAGCAGAGCTGCTCCAGCCCTTTAATAAGTTCATGTCCCTGCTCTGGATTGGCTCCCCAGAACCCCTGGAGCCCCACTTTCCTACCTTTGACACACTTGAACACGAGCTCTGCCCTCTTCAGGCACCATGGAATGGTCATCTCCTAAATGAAGAAATAAAAAGCCTCAATGCCCCACAAATCTAACCAGCAAGAATAGCAGGGAAATTATTAAAAGTGATATATTTTTTGCCCTAGAACATAATTTTCAAGCAGGATTTGGAACCTAGTCTTCAGAACATTCTAGGCAAGGTGACCATAAAAGCACCACTACTCCTTATTGCTAGGACAGCCAATGTCAGAACAATATTATACATTTTTAAGCTGAGATGTTGGATAAAAATGCTGTCAAACCCACTGGAAACTGGGCTGTTCAACCCCCCTGTGGAGCTCCAGAAAAAGTCTAATATTGAACTGATAATTGTCTGGTTCACACTTCAGCAAATCAAAGCAGGCTCCTGACCACATCCTAAAAGCCCAATAATGACTCCTAACTGTTCTTGATTTTCTTTAAGGTTTCTCGGCGTACCCACAACCTTCAGTAAAACCTTCTCTCTAACACTGGAACTGGAAAAAGCCCTTCCTTCTTAAGATGCATTTATGGCAAGAGCAAGAACAAAGTTCATCTGCATCTGATGAAGGTGTTTCAGATAGTAACAGCCAGGAAATCCTTACCTAAAGTTAAACAGCAAAACATGACATGAAAACCACAGTGGTTTAAGATATGGCCACAAGCACTGGGCTAAATTATTTAAGTTTAAAGTTCACAAAACATTTTTGGCTGTATGCTACAAAGCCAATTACACCATGATGATGTAATTCCATCAGAGACAGAATGACTCACTGCAAACACTTCCCAGGAGGAACAAAACAATATCTGTTTGTTTCTGCTGTACTCTTAAACATGAAGATGAGCACTTCCTACTCTGAATACAGGAATATAGATGTGGAAACCCATTTATCACTCTAAGTACTTACAAAGCTTTCTATTCACTAAAGCCAGTCTCTGTTTTGACATGTCAAATACAAAGTGTAACCTGTTCTTATTAGAAAGCTTGATTTCAGGATTAAAGACAGTTTTTTGAGAGGCAAGGTAATCTAAGAATGCTCATTGATAACACAACTGATAAACTGAATGTGTGGCTTCATTAAGCAACTACTGAAAGGCATAGTTCCTCCTCAGGTGGGAGGATCTACCACCCCACAGAATACACTTTATGTTAAAAACAGGTTAAGTTTGAAATATCTTTTCATAAAGCTTTCCTTCGGTAAATCACTGCTGCTTTTAGGGTATGCATCACATTAATCAGACAGAACAGTGCTGGACAAGTTTGGGTTTGTAATTTTGTTGTGGCCGATCTTTGACTTTTTTTAATTTGTAAGCATACTGGAGGCAACACTTGGTGTTTATTATAACTCATCTGTCCATGTGTACTTTCTGTCACAAGTAAGGTTTATTGTTGGTTTTGATCACTGCTTTAGCATAGTAAAAACCAAGTGACTAACAAGAACATTCTCTCTCACAGAAGCACCTTGAGCAATCAGTGATGGGAACTGAGCCTTAAAACGACTGATTAACACAGCAGGATATGACACCATTCCTTGGATTATCTTAGAGGAACAGAGATTAAATTTTGTGGGCACTCAGGGAAATAACAGAATGTTGCTCCATGCAAGCCACATGAACTGAAGATGACACAGCAGTGATTCAATTCTAATCCATCTTCACACACCAAAGTTTGCATGAATTCACCACATCACCAGAAGTTTTCTCTGGTGTGGAAATGATGGAGGATCAGGTAAGCACCAATTCAAAATACAGAGAAGGACAAAGCAAAAAAGGAAACACCCAACCTCCTAGAAGGAGCTTTGGTTAAGAGCATTCAAGAACATGAAAAAAAAACAAACCCACCTGGAACTTTGGGTGTTTTTCACTAGCAGAGGCACTTGAAACCCTTGTAATTTTGGTCAAATTAAGATTGTTTCAACTCGTTCAGAAAAAAAGGGTGGGGAGAGGGGAGATCGGCTTCATTGATTGGAAAGATATGTTGCAACCCTTTTGATTTCATTTTCATTTAATGTACGACAGGCTCACTACATGGGGCTGCTTAGGGCTTGGGTCTTTGCAGAACCATGTCATAATTAGGTAAGTAAAACAGGAAAGTCCACATACATCATGTGGAAAAATATTTCAAACCAAGCTTGCACTCCTTTCATTTCTACTTTAAAAAACAATTTTGTCTTAAATTATGGTAATAGAGACAACTGGACTGAGATAACTGAAGAGTCACATTTTTATCACTGTTGCTGTGTGGACAACAGCAATGTTGAAACTACCAAGGGAGGGTGCCAGCTCTGGCATTTTTAGCAGTGCCTTAATGTGAGGTGGTTAACCAGGAGCCCAGCTGCAGCCATTTCATTCCCCAGTTTATAGCAGATTTCAGGGATCAGACAGTAACACCTCACTTGGCCTGAAATCAAACTTGCCTGCTTTTGTCTTTCTCAGGTATCAAATCCAGTTCCTTTCCTTCATTTAATTTAATGATCAGACCAGAGAAATCTGTTCTGGCTGTTTGCACCACAAGAAAAACAAAGGAAAACAGAATTTCTGAATTTTTTTTCCCCATAGAAGTAACAATGAAATCTAATAGCTCCAATGAGATCAACAGAGTTAAACTGACAGAGAGCAGGTTTAGATTGGGAATGAGGAAGAAATTGTTCCCCGTGAGGGTGGTGAGGCCCTGGCACAGGTTGCCCAGAGAAGCTGTGGGGCTTGGAACAACCTGGGACAGTGGAAGGTGTCCCTGCCCATGGCAGGTGGTGGGACAGGATGAGCTTAAGGTCCTTTCCAACCTAAAACAGTCTGTGATACTGTAATTACTTTTCTGAGGCTATAAACACCACTCTTCCAACTGCATTAGAAGAAAACCTTTGGAAAAAGCACAGAGAACACTGCTAATGAATGCCTGTCCTAGGGAAGCATGGAAACATCTCTGCAGCTGGGCTCCTGGTTAACCACCTCACAAAAATGTTCTTCTGTAGGTGGTAAATGCAGAGTCAGAACTGCAGCTGCCAAAGGCACCGAGTTCAGGGTAACTTTCAGAATTCTGTCATTACTCACTTTTCCCTCAACAAGGAGTTACAGATTTGTGTGTTTCAAATCAGGTCAGCCAGCTGCCAAGCACTGTAATAAGCTGCTAATGCAAGTCATACACAGCAGTTGTGTCTAAACACACACTTAGCATCCAGCTCACCTTCTGTTTACTCTGTAAAGACTTACAGCTTAATACAAAAGGTAAATTGTTTTACCAGGATCTTTTAAGAATCCAGCACTAGACAAGAAGATAATTCTTGAGTTTCACACATCTCAAGGCATGTTGAACACTTGGTCCTGTGCTTTATTTGTAGTTTAAGCTACAGATATGCAGACAGAAGCTAAAACTAACCAGGCTTAAAGGAAACAAAAACCAGAAGAATATAATCAGGTGGAACCTTGATTAAGAAAAAGGTCAATATATTTAATAAATTTCTGAAACACAGCAACCAGGTCCCAGGAGTGACACAGGCTGCTATCCTGCATGTTGATTACTCATATTTGTGCCCAAAGAAAGGTCTCAGTACAACAGATGAAAAATTTCGTAAATAATCTCATCTGTTCTGAAAGTCTACTTTTATGTATAGAAATACATCCTTTAGAAGCTTCATTATTCTTTTTACCTTTTTCATTGCTTGCTTTTCATAATAGACCCTGATCCTGCAAAAAAGGGTGACTTCTACTCTGTGTTCCAGTAAATTCTGTAATAAAACCAGTCACTGCTAAATACTATCCACTGGTAAGGATTTATCTTGTTGTGAGTCAGCCACTTTCCACAAAGGAAAGGAAATATTTAATCTATAAGTGAAAAATCAAAGGGTTATTTAAAAAAGAAACCTCTCCAACAGACTGTAATTATTACTGATAATCTTGCATGGATGACAGAATTATCTTCCTTTTCTCATTTCTTTAGGTCTATAGACTCTCCAGCTCTTCAGGATAGGAGGCATATGGCTATACTCCCTGCCTTCCCAACCCTCTTCTTCTCTGTGAGGCAGATGTGACAGAGAAAAGAGGCTGCCAATAGTTTTAAATTGCTGCGCACTGAAAAACATTACAGCTGATTGAGAGACAAGCCCCACATCAGAGTCCCACTACAGAAGAAAATACAGAACTCAGCAGTAAGTAGGAACACAAAAAGCACTCGCAATATGCTGCCTTTTGCCCAGCCAGTATCTGAGGGGACTTAGAGAGGAAACAGGGACAGAAATTAGACAGTGAAGGAGGAGAGAATTCAAAGTGAAGATGAAATTTGGTTGCTCCTGTGTAGGGCTGAGGTGGTAGAAGAGCTACAAAAGGTAAAGGTGGTGTTTAGATTTATAGAACTCTAAGCCAAGCTTTGCCAGTTCTGCTAATCCTAAAACTTAATGTTTTACAGCTAATGATAATTAAAAGTGGGGATCTGGTATCACTACTGCATCAGCAGCTCTGAAGGTAGAGTTTCTAAGCAAGAGCTTCTAGTTGTGTAGTCTCATCTTTTATTAATACTTGTACAACTGCAGTGAGCTGGATCCAGGAAGTGAATTGTCCAAAAGGAGGAGTGGAAATAAAACCTTCAAGTGATTCAGCTGGCTGAGATGTTTTTAATTGGTCTAGCTCCTTAATTTGGGTCACCATGTAGATACAAGTGCCATGTAGAGTGGCACAGGAAGCCTGTGAGTGAGAAAAACAATCCCATTTGGCCTAAATCAGCAAAAATCCAAGGATATAAAACCAGCCCAAATGTTTCCATTTACTTACTTCTGACATTTCATGCACCAGCAGGAGAGGAATGCTGATGGTGGTGATGTCGTGTGTGCAGCACACCTTGAGGATGTTCCTGAGCCCCATGATGGCTGGGTCCCTGGCGGTCACATTCACAGACCTGACATTGTCATCCACACACAGGTGAAAGGCAACGTGGATTTCTGAGAGGTTTGAGTGCCTTGTGATGTAGAACTCTCCTGCACAATTAGGCAAACCAGGAAGGTAAGAGATCATAGTAGTGATCTGTATCTGAAATCCAATTGTTTGGAAGTGTAAGAAAGATAAGAGGCAAATACAAATATATAGCAGAGATGAAGATATACACAGGAGATGTAAAATCTCTTGGACTGTCACTGTTTTACATCCATCCCACACTCTCTCCACTGCTTTGATGGGTTCCACTGGCATCATGGTCACATGGTGTAATAAACCATAACAGTGCCAGTACAGGATATGATCTGTATATAGCACAAAACAGAAAAACAAACCAAGAGGAGGTGCAATACTCAAAATACACAATGCAAGCACAGAATTGCAGACAGATGTGGGAGGCGGAAAGGACAAAAAAGGATGGGTTCAAATAAAGGATGCACAGAGCCTTTGGAAAAAGATAGTAGGTTATGTAACAACCGAGATATAGCACTAGAACACAAAAGGATCAGTGACCATTAGAATTTAAAATAATTCAGAGTAGTGGGAACATGATCTATAGAGTTGTTTGAAAAAAGTAACAAAGACATCTTGTTTTGGGCATTTTTAGACTTAGTATTCATTTATCAGAGGTGAGAGGCAGTGAAATCCAGGTCTCTCCATCATTCCTTTGCACTGGAGATCTATAGTCTACAGTACAGTCAAGGAAAAAGCACGTGTGCAATGCCACCACTGTTTCAGTCAACAAATAAACATCATCCTTCAAACCTGTTCACACTGGCCATCGAAGTTAAGATCCTTTCTTTGGATTGGAACAGCTGCAGAAGGGTCTGTACTCCTTCTGGATGAGTGTTAAGGAGGCAGCAATGCCCAGCAGTGACCATCTATTAGCAGTAACACAGGCCACTGCTGCAAGACACACCTGGATTTATCTGGTCCGAGTTGGTTTAAATCCACTCCCACTAAAAATATTTAAGACAATCATGAAATCAATTTTAATAAGCCCTCTCTCCATGGGTTGTATGGACTTAATTCCTCCCTCCTCCAACTGCATATTCATCCTCAGATTCCACAGCAGCTTTTCTTACTAAACATCACAGTACACACAGAAGATACTTTCCCTGAGAGAGTGAATTCTCTAAGTTAGAAAAATCCACTCAAAAATGCTTTTCTGTACCACAGCAATGATATACATATAGCCATTTTCAAAAATAAAATTAGCTGCTACTATTGAAGTTCCACTTTTCCCCCAAGACGCTCAAAGATCTTTTTTTTTTTTTACTCTCAAATTCCAAAAGGAAATTTTAGGCAAAGAGAAGCGATTTGCCCCATGCCATGTTATGCAGTGGCAAAGCTGGGAATAGAAACCAGATGTCCTGACACCCAGTTCTCTGCCTTGGCCACAGGAACATCCTTCTCTGATTGAGGTCAGCTTGGGTTCGGTTTATAATTTATGTTCTGACTTCAGAGCTAAAAATGTGGATGTATAAAACACAATTTGCTTCAGGAAGAGGGGATCAATGCCACACAACTTACCCGGCAAAATGTTCGACTGGTTTCGTTCTATATTCTTTAATTTATCTTCACTCCCGCTGATTTTGTTTTCTGTGCATGAACACATGGAACAAATATTAATCATATCCTCTATTAATTACACTTGGCCATGAAAAGGGTCATGTACTGATATCTGGCTTGAATTTTGGCTATGAAGCTACCATAAAGTCCCCAAAATGCAAGGGGGATGGGGTAGAAGTGTTTTTGCCATCTTCAACACACCCCAAACTGAATCCTACCTCAAATCACTGCCCTTTTTACTTACCATCCAGTGATATTTCTTCATTTGGACAAAAGAAAATAATATTCTCAGACATAATGTGAAACTTTGCAAATTGCCCCCACAACCACATAATATCTTGCTATTACTCTTTTAATAATGTAATAAATTAAAACATTTTTTTCCTAAGAGATTTACATAAATCAGCAGCATAAAAGCAGCTTTCACCATTTCCCTCGAGATGCAGCAATACACAGGTTCTCAAGGGAACTTGTTTTTCTAAGTACTCGTATTTGTTCATGTTCCTGATGCATTTAAATCACATAAGTAGCTCTTTGGAGGGAAAACAAAGCTACATAATGGACAATTGCACTGCCTTAACACCATGTGGTCAGAGCATTTCCCAGACATTTGCAAACACAAGCGTAAGGCAAACCATTCCTCAAGCTTTGGTCAGCACAAGAAAGCTCAATATACATCTAGTCAATTTGTTATTTGGTTTTCAGCATTCACTTTAAAGGAAGGGGGAAGAATCGTAAATTCCTTTTCTGCAATTTTAAAAGACTTAAATGTAAATGGCAATTAAAAGGTAAAGACAGATGAAGTTTGTGCTGCTACAGGAAGTTTAGGAAAGAAGAATGGCCTGATGTACTTCCCATGCTGTTAAAATGGGACTTTTATATGCTGATTAATTTTAAAGAAGCAGCAAAGACACCACCCAAACATCACATTCTCTGTGAATTCCACACAGTTTCTTGATGAACCCAAACATTCCATTGTCCAGATGAAATAACTGCAGAAGAGTGGCATCGACTCTGCCTTGCCCACAAACATCCCACTGACCACTGTTCTATTTCAAGGAGGGTAATTTTGGTTGTCACTGACCATAGTGTCTTTTTGTCTTGCTGCTACGCTGTGCTCTGGCCTTAAGTACAACCTTCTGGACAATTTCAAGTTGTTCTTGGATTCCAGGAAAATGGAAATCCGTGCATTCTTGGCAAACAGTTGCGAAATCTAGGAAAAAAATAAGATGGAAACATATGTCATGAGGTTGTGCTCAGTAACCTTATGTAATTCTACTCTACTGATCAAGTTAATCCAGCTGTAAAGGCAAACTCTCCAAAAGCAGATAAAACCCTACTGGACTGGACTCCTCTTCCAAAATTTATTGAGGATTACATTTGACAGATTGTGACATGTTCCCATACTTTTCCCTCTACTGTGGCTGCAGGATCTAGTTGGTGGCTACAAGGTGGAATTTGGTGTTTAATGGCATTGTTTAAATTTCTGTTTCTCTCATTGCCTAAAATTTAGCATAAAACCAGATACTCTCCCATTGTTATTCATTTAAATATTTGAACAGTTAAAGCACCTGCAAAATAAGTACAAGTACAAAATAATACTGTTACAATTAAACTACTTGGAAGCAGCAATCAAGAAACACAACTGCAGCTTTTCCTGGTACACTTCCCTCTCCTTGCTACAAGCCTGATTCCAACTGTTTCCAGGCAATATCAAGTACCACTGTGCCTTTTTTATGGCGTGCAAGAATAATGACAATAGTGAAAAAAAGACATTCCAAGCACATCTGCTGCAGTATATGTCACAGTTGAGACAGCCATGATACAGAATCACCATACAATTTCCAAAGGCTTGAAGCATCAGCCCATACAGTGTAACACCAGATCACTTCAGAAGGCTTCAAGCATCCATGCTTTGTTCTTTAGCCCAACCTTTTATACCCCGCATGGTTCATGCACTGCACCTGTGAGCCCTCTGTTCCCTTTGGTGGTTGGTCAGTGCACCTGGGCACTCCATGGCTCATTACCTTCAATATCATTCACCTGTCCTGCACAGCTGGAGCCACTGGGGATGAGGCTCAGCCCCAGCCCCACTCCGAATCACCACAAACCGTGTACCTGAAAGTATTTTGTTACTAAGCTTCAAGACAGAAGTGGGAAAGTCAAGTAGAAGCTTCTTTGGTTAACCTTGACAGAAAACACCATCACAGCGCCCACCTACTCAAAAGACACGCACTTAAAGTGGCTATCAAACTCCCCAGGAGTAGGGGAAGTCATATTCCTATTGTTCATTTTTAATGGAACTCACAGTATCAAAAGGACATAGTATTTTTATCCATTTACCTATTACTTTAAAATCTGGGCATATTTCTTTTTCATTTTTGCAAATAAGTTTCAGTGTGATAATCTGGTATTAAAGACTTAGAAACACCTATAATAAATTTGTCTAAATCAATATTGAAGGGTCCTCTTCAATATTGTTTGTTACTCAGACACAAAATGTAGGGAAGAGATGAGAGCAAACACTATCCCCCATCCTCATCCATACCTCTTCTTGCATTTGTTTCCCTTTTGCAATACCATATGCAAAACATGAATGCCTCCACTGAATTTTAATTTTACAAAGAATATTTTTCTGTGAGAGAAGACAGCAAGATTTTATTCTAATTTATTATTTTATTCATTTTCCCTGACATGATACCTCCCACTAGAAGGCTCACCTCTTTTGATTCCACTGTATGAGCTGATCCTGTTATCCACCAGTAACACAAGGCCACAGAGGGAAGTTGAGTAGAGGGACATTGCAGTCTGCAGCCTATGCAGCTTCACCCCACTGCGGTGATTGCGCTTGTGTTTGCAGAAATCCAACATATCAGCTCTCAGCAGCCTCAGGTTGTGCATGGTCTTCAGCTGAGCTCCTGCATAGAGCACACATGGCTTAATCCCAAGGAAAGACTAAACTCAGGACTGCGATTGAAATGCAAGGGCACAAAGTGCTTCCTCATAAAGATCTGAAAGGGAGCTGTAACCAGTAACACCCAGAGGAAGTTCCTAGCCACACATTCGGTTTTAAAGATACATCAGCAATCTGCTAAGTAGCAATAAAAACTCAGTGTTTGCACAGAGTGAGGCTTGTCTATGTCTGAAATGAGCCTTGTCCCCATTGCAGAATCACAATTATTAAGCTTGGAAAAAACTTCCAAAAATGAAGTGCAACCTGTGCCCAGTCCCCACCTTATCACCAGCCCAAAGCACCAAGTGCCACATCCAGGCATTCCTTGGACACTGCCAGGGATGGGGACTCCAAACCTCCCTGGGCAGCCCCTTCCAACCCTTTCTGTGAAGCAATTCTTCCTGAGGAATACTGCAGGGTTAGGGACAAACTACTGCTGTGTGGTGGTGTATCCCTCCCCATCCTCCCCAGAACCACTCCATAAGCTCAGCAACTCCTGTAGTCCCTTAGCATTTGTGCAATGAGCTGGGTGCTGAGGCATCCCTTGGCCATCCCAGGAACTGCTGCATGGCAGCATGAAGTGGGAGCTGCATGAAGGGGAAAGGATCATCAGTCAGCCCCTGCCAGCCTGGAAACATCCCCTACCTGACCCATGGCCCGAGGAGAACAGCACCATTGCTGCTGGAGTTTTGGCAACTCCAGCAATTCAACCTGAGGATGAACATTTTCCAAATGACTCAAGGCAATCATCTTATGACCCTATGGACAGGGGTCCTAAGGGATGTTCTTGGAGCTTTCTTGCACCACAGGAGGCTGCACCAGCACCTCCCTCTGGCAGAGATGCCTCTCAGAGCTTGCAAATTCCCAAGTTTGTGACACTGTGAGGATTGTTGCTGCCTATCTCCACCTAAGTAATTCTAGATTTGGTTATAATCCAATTTTCCTCTGTATTTCAGCTGTATAGTAACAGAGTGAACCTTGCCTTTGAACTCAGTTGCTCTTTTGCAAATTTATGTCAAATCTGCTTTGGCTGGTGATCTTTTAAGTGACCTAAACTACTCCAGCACAACTTCACCTGGTCAAGACAGCTCCAGAAGACTCTACTGCACAAACAAAAATACAAACTGCAAGTATCTCTTCTGCTGTCAACAGATCATCAGAAGTGAATTTTGTAAACACGTTTTTCTACCAAACATAAGAAAAGTCAAAGCTTCATTTTTAGGCAATACATTTTGCTGTTGCTGTGCTTTTTCACATGAGTCACCCAACCAAAATGGATGAAAATTTGCTTCTAGAATGTTTTCCATTAAGATTTCTACCTATTTCAGACATTGCTTGATAAAGTTTATGCTGTTCACTTACATATGTAAAAAACAAACACAAAACAACTCCAAACTATGGATTAGAGACATTGAGAGATGAATAATGTAAGTAATACACACCTTGGATACATTGTTTTTTTACCAGCTGTTATTTGGTTTACTCCACTTACCTAAATGAATAGTAAAGCTTTCTTCTAACAACCTTTGCTCTTCATAGATTCTCCCATTTCCTTCCACAGATTCCCTCAGCTGGCTGGGCTGAACTTTAATTTCATCACTAAAATAATAAGAAAAGTATCAAAAAGTTAATCCTAATTTTTATTCAAGACCAACAATTTTGGGAAAGCTATCCCAAACTTTCTCAGCTGGTCTGTAGAAACCAGGAGAGCAAGCCTATGAGCACGAGCTCCACTCATGAGGTTTCACCTTGACCTTCCTGGCAGCAGAAAGAGGAGACTCCACTGTTAGATTTACATTACTTGGCACATTTGTAAAGCATTCCAAGACTGAGAAATAAAAATAAGTCACAATATCTAGTTATAACATAGTAAGATTGTATGAATAAAAGGAAAACCAAAAGAACTCTCCTCAGCCTATTTACAGCAGCCAAAACCTTATTTATGAAGTTATTAGAGAAAGCATTTGTTTTCTTTTTCCCACTCAAAATGGGAGATTAAAAATCACCTTATCAAATGTTCCAGAGTGTTCAAACTACCAGGAAACATTTCAGATATCAGTTTTAATATTTTCCCTAAATTCAACTGTCTGGTAGTGATACAATGAATACTGTTCCTAATACACGAAAGAACAGCATCCAATTTGTTTCTGCATTAGTGAGAAGTTTCTGTTTTCAAAGTGCCTCACCTCCAAAAAATCTCTTATAAACTTGCAAGCAATTCTACTGATTTCAACTGCCAAGCAGCAATGTACTAGTGATAAAGAATAAGGATCCCACCCAATTTACAAACTCTAATTTCCCTGTCATTTCCTCAGAGGAAAGCTTCTCATTCAAGTCTCTCCTAAAAAATTCACGCTAAAAAATTCCATTTTTTAGTTGTTCAGTTACATACATATAGAAAGAGAAAAGAGGCTTGTTAATTCAAACCACTGTTACCATTTGTTAAAGTACCATTATTCTCCAGAACATGCTTAGGTGGTAACAGAAGGCTTTGTGAAACATTGTTAAAGACAGTCATAGGAGAGAAAGACAAAGTAAGAGGAAATTCCACTCATGTCAAACTGTACTTTAGTCCATTACAACACTTTCTTCTACAGAGAGGTTGTAACATCACACAATGAAGAAACTCCTAAAATTATACATATTTCTTTATGATGGTCTATTTGCCCTTGATATGCTTTGATAAACCTAAGCAAATTATTTATAGATACTATAACATCATAATAAATAATAGGACTATTATAACATCTCAAAAAATAGGACTATAGTATCCTATTTAAAAGATAATGTAAAAACAATCCTTTGAACTATTTCAGCTGGAATTAAGTATCACAGAGGAATTAAATACCTGACCGAGCTGTTGTTGGGATTCTTTAGGTCCTGATGAAGCTTTATCACCCACTCCTGATATTCCTGCTTCTGGATAGCAGTAGTCTGTTTTAATTCATTGGTCCATTTGTTCTCCAAATCCTGACAGGAGAGCAGTGATAAGTTGAGTGGTGTGAGTGTTCTTTTTAAGGTGATTATGTGCATGACACATTCTAGTTACCTGCTGAGATTCAAAATGCTGAGCTGCTAAGGAATTCACATCCTGGTCAGTCAGTGACTTTCCAAGCTCCTGCATCACCTTATCCATTTCAGCTCCTTGCCTGAAAGAGCAGCAAACACAGACTCCAGAACACTGGCAGAAGAACACCCTTTGCTGTGATACAACAACAAACTTGGTTGGTTATTACTGGCAGAATGAACAGTCACAGATTTAGCAACGAAAACCCACAAAACAAACTGGCATTAATGGTCAGGGACACAAGTCAGGTCCTGTGTAAACAGCCCCACTTAACCTCATTTGGGACAGTCTTAGCTGCCACCAAGATAGGGATGTGATAAATTCCAACTGGGGTGTGATTTCCAGCTACATCACACCTGAGCTCTACAGCAATACTGCTCTTTCTTCTGTATGCACAGTTGAAAAGAGGCAATAACAGCAAAAAATTTCCTAACATCTTATTGGCAACATTGACCCCCAAATCAGAAATATGTACAATTCAGTCCAGAAGAAACCATAGAATGAATTGATTATGCACTAACACGACCTTAGACACACAAACTCGAGAGCCGCTCAGAATGCTAAACCAGACCTACTGAAACTACTCTGGCACAAACAGAAAAATCCACACTCAACGTGTTCCCTCTTGTGGATAAAGGAGTCAGCTGCAGCCATGCAAGCTTATTCCAGAAATCCAGACTCAAACTTGTTACAGCATATGTCACAGTTGAGCCAGTCACACTACAGAGTGCCACCATTCAATCTCAGAAAGGTCCAACCAGAGTCACAACACTTCAGAAAACTACAAGCATGTGCTCATCTTGCCCTTTGCCAGAGCTCACTCCTAGGTCAGGGGTGGCTCCGTGTGGTGGAAAAATCTCTCCTCCAACCTGTGCTTCCAAAGAAAGGCTGAGTAGTCTCTTGTTGTTCTGTCTCATGGTTGTTTATTTCAAGTTATCTAAAAGATTTTCTTCTTGAGCTGCTGTGGTTTGCTCAGCAGCTCAGGCAGAGGCACACACACCCCTGACACCCTCTCTGTCTCTTGTCTTTTTCTCTCTCTCTGCCCAGGGCTGGCGCTATCTCTTATATGGTACATTATGTGTTAAATGTTTACAGTTCTTCCCCAATGCTTATTACCTATATTAAATAGTGCTTTTCTACTCTAAACCAATCTGTGAGTACCAACATCACCAAGAACATGGAGGTAAGGAAGAAGAAAGAGGGAGGACAGGACAGGCCCAAATCCCTCCACCTTAAAACTTCTGACCCCCATGAACAAAACCAAAACCCCCCTGTACAGCACTCAAAAATTCTTCCCTTAACTTTGTGATTACTTCTACTATAATATCTAAACTTTTGTGACTTCTTGTTCTTCCTGCAAGGTTGGTAAATCATTCCATGGTTCAAATCCAAAGTCACACCTGTTTCCAGCTGCCTGCCAGGGTCTCAAACGCTTCTGACCTGGATCCGGAACATCCAAAAACGTCTGAGGGACATGTTGAGTTCTGAGAGTCCTTCAGCCCAACCTTTTGTACCCCTCACCTTACATGCACTGCACCTGTGAGCCCTCTGTTCCCTTTGGTGGTTGGTCAGTGCACTTGGGCACTCCATGGCTCATTACCTTCAATATCATTCACCTGTCCTGTACAGCTGTAGCCCATTGGGGATGAGGCTCAGCCCCAGCCCCAGCCCCACTCCCAGTTAGCACAAACTGCGTGCCTAACAAACTCAACATTTTCTGGAAATCAAAACTTATATTCTCCTCAGTTGCTGAAAATAATAGAAGGCCACCAAAGTAATATAAGGTAGCTGAACCTAATGACATCATAGAATCATGGAATGGTTTGGGCTGGAAAGGACATGAATGTTCATTTCATTCCAACCCCTGCCATGGGCAGGGACACCTTCCGCCTGACCAGGTTGCTCAGAGCCCCATCCAACCTGGCCTTGGGTTGGATACCTCATTCCTCAAGGGATGAGGCAGCCATAGCTTCTCTGGGCAACCTCTGCCAGGGCCTCACCACACCCTGAGTAAAGAATTTTTTCCTGATATCCAAACTAAATTTTCACTGTTTCAGTTTGAAGCTACTCTCCCTTGCCCGATCTCTAAATACTCTTGTGCCAGCCAAGTGTTGTCTGGCTTTGGGTTTACAGAGACAAATACAAGCTACTCACATTGTCCTATGAGTTCACACACCCAGTAGCATGCACCTCTATTTAATAAGAGAAAGGAAAACCTAAATAATAAAAAAAAAGTAATACCTTTCACGTAGCTTTTTCAATTCCACGTCCCTTTCACTTATTAATTCTGAAATGCTAACAAAATAATTGTGTTCCAGGTTTAACAGCATTTCAGAAGCTGGAGAATGGATCAGATCATGATAAACATCTGCAAAATCTTCATCCCAGCTGGTTTCTTCAGGTTTGGCATGTTCTAATGTTGTCTAAAGAAAATGTAAGATATTTTAAAGGATACCTCTTAGGACATATAAAGATCCTCATAAAGGCGGGGCGGGGGTGGGTGGGAGGGCAGGTAAAACCATGGGGGCCCACACACAGCCTGTACCATACATAAATTATCTTCCCTAATTTAAGCTTTCTGCATTCTACTTTAGCTTTCATTTTTCTCCTCTCCCATTCTTTCTCTTTCAAAGTATCGAAAGTCAGAATCATTAAGGTTTGGACTATAGTAAGGAATTAACAATTTTCACACAATACCAGCTCAGAAAGAACTGCAATATCCACAACAATATTTGCACCTGATGAATTTTAGATAAGGCCCAGAACACCAGCTGTGCAAACAAAAATGCTTTGCTAGTAAGGATGACTAACTGCTGATGTCACTAAGAATTCCATCAACAACACTGATTTAAGAAAAGCTATTTTTATTGAACAAACAACGGCCCAAGAATGCCACTTTTGCAAACTTTTAATAGAATTTTTCATATTTTTCTATATTTCATGAGAAGCAAATTCAATTCCTATAAACTTTTCTTCAAATACTGCAGGTTTGTCATTAGTTTTTTCTTTTCACTAGGACTCCTCCAGTTCTTTTGCACTCCACTATTTGTAAGATCCTATGTGAAACTGGACATTGTTCCAACTTAAGCCTCATCCTTCCTAAATAATATGAAACAGTAATATGAACCCAAAAAATGAACTGAAAAGTCTCTCAACTATACACTTTCTCCTTCTAGCCTTAATTGCTGTTATTGAGATTTAGGATAAGAGTGTCACTTCATTAACTCTTGCTTTAATTCTAAGCCACTATAGGCCTTATGCCTACTTTTTGTTCGAGTGTCAACTGTTAAATGAATAAACCGTTTGCCTCTCCATTTTCTATTTTTTTACTCTATTAAATTCAAGAAAAACCTGACTAAGAACTTGTAGGATGAAGACTTGATGCTCACTTTCAGACAAAAAGAAAAAACTGCAAGAATTGCAGTGAATTTTAGTGTAAAGTTTCATCCTCACAACTGTGATTGCACACACACACACACACTCCCACAAAGCAAGCCTTGAATATTAACTTTCCAGCCTTAACCTTACCTCTTTATAAGCTTTAGCCCAAGTATCTGCCAGCTGGTTGATGTCTACTTTTCCCGATTTCACTGCTTCCAGAGCCACTTCAGCTTCTCTGTCATAATCCTTTATAGTTTCCTCTTCTACAAATTTACTGAGAGATTGCTTCAGGTCTATGACAACAAGAAGAAAATGATTTATCAACAGAACACATCAGTAATCACCCAGGAAACCTGTAAGTAAAGTTTTTCACCTGAAAACCTTTTCCTTGCTAGCACTTGCTAGCACTGACAATAATTTTCTCTATGTTTTGCTGTTTAAAAACCAACTTTGTACACACTGTTCCAGTAAAACACTGTTCTTTTGGTTTCTCAGAGCAAGCTGTAAGATACTTGTGAACAAGGATACACGAGATTAATTTAAGAAATCAATTCATACCATTTTCTATAAAGCATGGCAGGTTGTGCAGAACCATCAGACGTCCATGCAAATGACTGATATTCTCTTGTACAGGGAATTTGAGAGGCACGGTAAGCACCAAATGTTCATTTCCAGCACTGAATTTGTACACGTAGTCTCTTTCTCTAGTTAAAGTCTTTCCTTTATTAGGCTTCATCCTTTTGTTTCCTGCAACAGAAATGCAAGTAGCAAGAATTACATTTCTCTAAACTCAGAAGTAAAAAATGGTAATGAAAAGCCATGGCTTTGCTAATAATTAACAGTCAAAAATACTTAACCCCCCAAATTTTCATAGATACTCAGTTCTGACTTCCAAATACATGCATCTGGAACTCAAGCATAAATACCAGTTTCCAAAATATCCAATGCTTCTAAAATGTATTTGAGTGTGTCAATATATAAATTTGGGTAATTGCTCTTAAAAATTACAGTGAAAATCTCCTGACTTAAGAGCAGAAGCAGGGCAGATAGGAATCCTGATAAACAGAAAATTAACTGAAACACCCCGACTTCTGTCGTGGATGCCTCAAAAGCTGAAATCCTGCAGAGTGCATAGAGATTTTATTTCCTCTTTTCTGCAGGTGCAAGGCCTGGGGAGTGGGGGGGAGGAGATATTTGCAACAATTTTTAGAAAGAGCTGATTTTGTCTTTCTGTAACCTGTATTAAAAATAAGCCAAAAGAGATGCAAGGGGACTGTGCAGAGTGAAAGCACAGGCTGTGAAAAATGCCAATCACTTGTTTTGAAATTTTAAAAGTTGAATAGTAAAAAAATAGCTATAAAAATATTAATAAAAGTTAGAGCAACAAGAATTTGGACAATCAGAGTTAGGACAATAAAGGACAATAAAAAGCAAAGAATTACTGATGTCCAGGTGTCTGGCACTCTGCCACAGAAAAACACCTTGCTAACAAAGAATTACCCCTTAAAAGCAATAGCCCGTTGCATATTCATATATCTCATACATGATGCAAACATTCTTTTCAAACAAAGGATGTCCTCTGCTTAATTTCTGCCCCCTCCCCTGTCATCTTGTAAATCAATTTTTTTGGCTCCTCTAAGTCTAGAAGAAGTCTGAATAGTCTGGATAAGAAGGCAATAATTCTTGAGTTTTGGTGTCTTGTTGCTATTGTCTGTATGTGAAGAATTTCTTGGTTATGCATTTCTTGAGCTAGTTACAAAAATATCTCACATCACATAGTTTCTATTTTAATATTATGCTATAGCCTAAAAACTGTATTTGCCACACTACTTAAAAGAGATTATTACAGCATAACTTTCCAACATAACACATATAGTATTAATCTTAATATTTGCAAAAAGCCAATCATATAATACGCATCTATAACACAGGCTGAGATAGCTGTGCTGGTATTTTTGCCCTCCTCAGGGCACCTCTGCTCATTCACATCCCTCTGTTTTGAACATCACTTCCAAAGCTGGCTACAGCTTCAGCTGAACCCTCCCCAGTGCTAAAAACTCACGCCCCGAGGAGAAGGAAAAACACTGAAAATAAAACATGATACAGCAGAATTCACCGGTTTAGGGTTTGGGGTTTTTTCTTCTTTTTTTTTTCTTTTTTTTTGGGTGGGGGTGGGTTTTTCTGTGAACAAACCTATGTGTTGGACACGAAACAAGAAGTCAGTGTCAAAACCAAACATCTCAGCACAAACAATATCGATGCGAGGCGGTGTCCCGGCCTCTCAGAAGTGGGATTCAAAGGGAGATCTGGGAAACACAAACCCGAGCACGCTCTTTCTGCCGCTCTCCGACGCAGCGAGGAGGTGGGGAGGAAGCTGATGGAGAGGGAGCGGGGGACAAACCCGCGGTTCCAAAGAAGACCTGAAATCGCAGGCTCAAAGCCGGCAGGACGCGGCCTGCGGGAGCCCAGCCGCCCTTCCCCGCCGCAGGGAGCTCCCGGTGTCCGCGTTCCCTTTGGCTGGAAGCAGCGGCGGTGCCCGGCGCGGCCCGTCCCGGCGCACCGGGCCGCGGGGCAGGGAGCCGCGCCGTTCCGCCCACCCGCTCCCGCCGGCGCAGCCGCGCGTCCGCAGCGGCACATTCGCCACCGCGCTGCGGGCGGAGCCGGTGGCGGGGATGGCGCGGCCGGCCAGGAGGTGCGTGTGCTGGGGCTGGGGGACGAGGGGCTCCCCGCTCCCCTCAGGGCCTCTGCGGGATTCCAGGGTGGCCCGGCCCTTCCCTTCCCCTTCCAGCGGAGCGCTCGTGATCGGTAGCGCAGGGCCGTGTTGGAGGCCTGGCATTATTAGTGGTGTCCCCCGGGGTTCTGTCGTAGAATGGTTTGGGTTGGAAGGGACTTTAAAAACCATCCAGGTCTAACCCCCTGCCATGGGCAGGGACACCCGGCACTATTCAAGGTTGCTCCGAGCCTCATCCAGCCTGGCCTTGAACACTGCCAGGGATGGGGCAGCCACAGCTTCTCTGGGCACCCTGTGCCAGGGCCTCAGCACCCTCACAGGGAAAAATTTCTTCCTAATAACCAATCTAACCCTGCTCTCTGTCAGTGTGAAGCCATTCCCCCTTGTCCTGTCATTCCAGGCCCCTGTCAAGAGTCTCTCTCCAAACTTCCTGTGCACTCTCTTGAGGCACTGGAAGGCCACAATGAGGTCACCCCAAAGCCTTCTCCTCTCCAGGCTGAACAATCCCAATTCCCTCAGCTTTTCCTCCCAGCAGAGCTGCTCCATCCCTCTGATCCCTTTGGTGTCCCTGCTCTGGCCTGGCTCCAGCAGCTCCCTGTCCTTGCTGTGCTGGGATCCCAGGGCTGGATGCAGCCCTGCAGGTGGCGTAATACTGGGCTCGGTGTTTAAATTGCTCATCCAGAATTTGGATGAAGGGTTTGATGTCCCCTCGGCCGTTCACAGATGACACAAAGCTGAGAGGATTGGCCAATTCCCCAAAGTGCCATGCAGCCCTTCAGAGAGACCTGGACTGGTTGCAGAGATGGTCAGAGAAATGTCTAAAATTTAACAAAGGCAAGTGCAGTATTCTGCACATGGGAAGGAATAGTGTTGTGTGCTGGCCAGCAGGTCTGCTGAGAAGGACCTGGGGATCCTGGTGGACAACAAGCTGTCCATGAGCCTTCCCTGGGGGCCAGGAGGGCCAATGGAATTCTGGGGTGCATTGGGAAGAGCATTGCCAGCAGGTCAGGGAGTGATCCTGCCCCTCTGCCCAGCCTGTGTGGCACATCTGCAGGGCTGTGTCCAGCTCTGGGCCCCTCAGCACAGCAGGGCCATGGAGCTCCTGCAGCGGGGCCGGCGGAGGCTGCAGAGATGATTCAGGGCCTGGAGCATCCCTGGCAGGGAAAGGCTGAGGGAGCTGGGGCTGTGCAGCTGGAGAGGAGCCCCAGCTGAGAGGGGCCCTCAGCCCTGGGTGTCCCTGGCTGCAGGGAGGGCTCCGAGCAGGGCCCAGGCTCTGCTCTGGGGGCCCAGCAATGGCACCAGAGCCACGGGCAGGGACTGAGCCCAGGAGGTTCCACCTGGGCAGGAGGCACAACTTCTGTCAGACTGAACAGATTGTCCAGAGAGGGTGTGGAGTCTTAAAAAAAATCTACAAGCTATTCCTTATAATCCATTTTGTACAGTTGCACTAGTTGTAGATTTATCTCTGCTCTCTGTGCCCAGGGACAGGACCCATGGAACAGCTGGAGTCTTGCCAGGGCAGGCTTAGGGTGGATATCAGAAAAGGTTTTTCGCCCATAGGGTGGTGGAGCACTGGAACAGAGAATGGTCATGGCTACAAGGCTGCCAGAGCTCCAGCAGTGTTGGGACAGCGCTCTCAGGGATGCACAGGGTAGAACTGTTGGGGTGTGCTGAGCAGGACCAGGAGCTGGACTGGATGACCCTTGTGAGTCCCTTCCAATTCAAGGATAATCCATGATTCCATGATTCTGTCCCCGTGAACACGTATTGATTTCTTTTCCTTGTAAAACATGATCTACCCAAAGGTGTTACCAAATCAAGATGCTTAGTCAGAAAGGATTGATAGTATATTTTTTTTTTTGCCACAGGAATAAGAAAGTTGTTGATTATTCTCAGTTTGGGGATTTGGAAGATGATGGTAAGTGGGATGTCCTTGTACATCAAGAATTTGAAATCATTGCCTCTTACATAAAAGCACATGTAAAAGAGGGTCTGTTGACTTTTCTTTTTAAATACATTTAAGGATAGTGCAGTCATAGTTGTTGTGTTCTTTTAAAATAGAATTAACTTCCAGAAAACGTTATATATTCAGTGTGCAATGAAAATGATGGAATTTAAGAATATAGGAAAACACATGAGAGTTTGTTTCTGTTTTCCAACAGATGAAGACTTTGCACCTTCAAGCAAAAAATCAAGAACACAGCTCAAGGAATCAAAGAAGGAGAAAAAAGAGAAGTCAAAAAAGCCCAAAGACGTGACTCCATCCCAGACACAGACACCTAGTAAGAGGTAAGAAATGTTGTGGTCGACTCTGTGTAAAATTGGATTTCAATTAGAAGATTTTGGGTTTGGTTTCTTTTCCCCTAGAGTTTTAAGCAGCTGAGAACAAACAATTAATACATGACTGTAATAAATATTTTGAGCTGTATTAATGCACCTTCAAATAACTGTAAAAGTTCTGAGTTTCTTAGGGACTCCTAAACCAGAGAAATAAAAAGACAAGTTTGATTCCTTCTAAAAGAACATATTTAAAGGAAGATACAAAGTCAGTGTCAATGAAAAAGAGAAATCTAATTTTTATTAGTAGAGTTGTGTTTAAATATTACATTTTGGTGTGGCATTTCAAGCAAATGCAATCACTTTTTTTTTCCTATAGTAATGCCAGTTAATAGTTCATATATTTATATATATTTATATATATATATATATATATGCACACATCCACTGTTTTGCAATCATAATGCTTTAAAGTATACAATGCTTTAAAAGTTAGTGTGTGTTTTGTGTAAATAATTTCAAAATGTAATATTTGTAATAAAATATGCTGTAAACATGTATTGAAATATTAATCTCTTCACAAGTATCTGAATTTTAAAGAGTTCACTGAGAAATAGTTCTATAACACTCATGTAATTGTTTTATTATTTAACATGCTGGCATTTTTTCCCCAGGTTATCCTTGGATGAGAAACTTTATAAAAGAGATTTGGAAGTTGCCTTAGCCTTATCTGTCAAAGAAAAATCTGCAAATCCCGAAGAAGTACAAAATTCAGAAGAACAAGGTTACTTTATAGTTCCATGCAACACCCTTTACTTATTTGCAGTGAATTTGAAGATGGGAATTTGTTTTACACTGAAATAGATTGAAAAATCACATTTTATTTCAAGATGTCACGACAAGAGAGAGTTTCTAAGTATTTCCTGTTTTCTTATGTTCTTGGGTTTTTTTCTGTGAGAGAAGTAACTCTTCCATAAGATTCCAAATATATACTTGGATTAGAGACAGATAAAAACTTCACTTATTTAAATTTCTTGCTATTTTTACTTTTTATAATGTGTTTTTGTATGGTAATATTTCATATTTTTATTTTTTTCTCCTGTTTCTTAAAACAGGTAAGAATATTGAATCAGAAAATACACAGAGGAGACCCCTTCTTTCCAATTGCAGTGTAGACAGTGAACTTTTAGGTAAGTTGTTCTCACACTCTTTTCAAGAAAACATTTAATTACCTTATCTCTTCTCTGTTTCCATTGGTTTCTTTTTTTTGTTGATGTGGAAAAAAGGGTCTTTATCTTAAATAAAGGTTGAAGGATGTGTCAATTCTTTCATTAAAAATTTGGTCCCAGTATTAAAATGAGCAAACCTGGGGATTGGTGAATTTTTGGTCTTCTTTTTTGTTAGCCTGATTACAGGTAAATGTTGATAAATTTGACAATGAGAAAATAAAATGAGACACACATGAAAACAGGAGTCAGTGATATGTTTCTGAACAGTATAACTTCATATCACCAAAATGAATTCTGGGCACTCAAATGCCAAATTATTTTAGAGGAAGAACAAAGATTTACTGTGAATTTGAGCTGATTAAATCACTTTCTGTTTTGTAGGTCTCAATCAGGTTATGAATGATGATGCACCTGAGGATGATGGGAGGCAAAAGACAGCAGCAACCAAAGTTCCAGCACATCACAAGTCACTGGTGGTTGACAGTGATGACAGAGCCCATGATCCTGATTCTGAGCCAGAGTCTTTACCCAGTAAGTTCTTCTGCACCAAAACCCTCTCCTTAGGTGTGCTTTGGATGTGATGCCTTTCATTTAGTTTGGATTTTTAGTGAAATTCATGCTGCTTTCACTGCATTTTCCCTTACTACCCTCTTACTGAAGCCTTATCCCCTCATACTCATGATATCTCATTTGCACTTTCACACTAAATTTACACTCTGGAGCTTATTCACTCCCAAACTAGCAAAATGTCACTGCTTCTCTGTATTTGTATGTCAGGAGAAATTCCTTGTGCACTCCTTGTCCAGGAAAGTTTCGTCTCTTTAAAGATCCTCTGTTCATTTTTCCAGATGTTTTCTGGATTTGTATCAAAACAGTGACTCTGGAGTAGTATCAGGTGTTGGAACTTTCACTGTTGGCTTTGTTTAAGCTTATTTTAAAAATCAAGTAGCCTCCCTTCTTTCCTTCCTGTGACTGTCATCTTTTGGAAGAGCAAGCTGCATCCATGTGTCAGTCATTCCCTAACAGGCAAGGTGTCTGTGTAAATGTTCACTGCTTCAAGATGGGACAAGTCTAGTACCACCCTCATAATTTCCGCTGTCCAGTGGTCTGTCATCTTAAGTGATGATTTCCCTGCTAAAGAGCATCTTTCTAAAGTAATTTTTTTCCATCCCAGCATCACCTATAGTTTCTCCTTCCTGGATAATGGAACACAACTCTGAGCCAAGGCAGAAGGTGATGTCCAGTCCCTTGGAAGCAGCTGGAAGGCCTCTACATGCATCAAGTCCTGTCACAGACAAAAAGCCTAAATGGACACCACCAGGTACGAGTGAGGCTGCAGCTATAGACACTAGCTATGAGTTGACTTAAGCTTTTAGCAATCTCTCCTAAAAGCAAACAAAAGATAAACCATTCCAGGAAAATGCCTGCCCTTTATATACATTTTAGAGAGATTTTCTTTGGACAGGTTTAAAACAAAAAAGAGAGAAAGGAAGAAAAGCTATATCTGCGTTTTGTTTGCAGCATTATCCTTAACTGCTTTGTCTGCATGGGTCTTACAAAATGTTTTCCAAACTGTGGATCAGACCTTAATCAAAAGATCCTTTCATGTCCATTTCTCTCTTATTTACAGGTTTGTTTATTTCTGATATGTACTAAATTATTATCTGTTCTAAACAAAGAATATTAAAAAATGCTGGAGTATTTTAGCTGCTCTAATAAAGCAAATGGTTAAAAGCTTTATTTTCTCAAGGTTTGAGCATGCTGCTGCTGCTGACTCCTGATTCTTTGATTTTTCTTCATACTTGCTCTTCTTTTCTGTAAGTGGTTCTGTTTGGCTCCTTTCTCTCAAGTCCATGTTTCCCCATTGGAGTTGTGTTCAGTATTTCTCTGTGGAGTGCCTGAAAATGCCCAGGACACTGAGAACAGTTGCCCAGTGTTGCTGCAGTGTGTGGCTGGGTAATTAACCTGTGCACCATTCCTGCTGCACTGGCTCCCAGAGGGAGAAGCCCTGGTGAGTGATTTCCATGTGTCTCTGTGGTTTGGACCTTTTTGCACTCTCTTTGGAATGCTTCTTTTGTCCTGCTAGGAAAACTACTAGAAGACAACAGTCATCTGATCCTTTTTCCCCCTTTAAACTTCTGATACCTTCTTTTTGTATTAAAATCATCTCCAGCTCCATCTGGAAGCAGTAATGCCTCTGCGAAATGCGTTCCTGTTAAGTCACCTACTCACTGCCTAAGACTTGGCCTCTCCAGACTGGCAAGAGTCAAACCTCTCCATCCCAGTGCCACCAACAGTTAAATGGTCAGTGACAAAGTACCACACAGAGGAAAAGATTGTGGAAAGGTGTTGCTGATAAACAGAGGGTGGGCAGCATCCTGGAATCATCCATTTTGGAGGACTTTTATTAAGGATGTGTCTGATGTTAGGATGAGTTTTTATTCTGCAAATTGCTAGGTGTCTTTTAAGTGCTACTGAATACTAGTGTTTAATCAAGGTGACATCTGGCCACCAGCTTTTTGATGTATTATATTCAGAGATGTTGGTTTGTGATAATTTTAATTCTTTAATACCTAAATTCTTGGCATTAATATAGTCTAGACAGCACTACGGCAGTATGATGATAGGGAAATGTTTTTTAGAATGTTGTATTTTTTTAAAAAAAAACTAAAATAAAATACTTTATAATGTCTAACTTTGTTTCTTGAATGTATTAATTTTGAAGGTCACTTTAAATGTTGGTTGCAGTCTGGCAGATATTTTTGCTTGTGTATGCTCTTACTGGAAGTCAGCAACATTAGTCAGGCTCAGACAATGAGGAATTTCCTTGGTGCTCCTGGGGCTTCATTGAGGATCGTGATACCATGCTAAGGTAGGGGTTCTGTAAAGCAGTGAAGTGATTGCTACTGATTAATGAAACTGAGCTTTTACTAATCCACAGTGTCAGTAATTTCCTATCCAAGCCTCTTGATTACAGTCGATGGCAGCAGATCCATTTCTCCATGTATTACTCATGACTCAGGGAATTGCATTAACAAAGGAATATAATAGAATCATGGAATGGCTGGGGTTGGAAGGGACCTTAAAGATCATCCACTTCAAAACCCCACCATGGCCAGGGGCACCTTCCACTATTGCAGGTTCCTCAGAGCCTCATCCAGCCTGGCCTTGAACACTTCCAGGGATGGGGCAGCCACAGCTTCTCTGGGCAACCTGTGCTGGGGCCTCACCACCTTTACAGGGAACAATTTTTTCCTAATACCCAATCTAAACATACTCTCTCTCAATGTGAAGCCTTTCCCCCTTGTCCTGTCACTCCAGGCCCCTGTCAAGAGTCTCTCTCCATCCTTCCTGTGGGTTCCCTTCAGGCACTGCAAGGCCACAATGAGGCCACCCCAAAGCCTTCTCCTCTCCAGGCTGAACAATCCCAATTCCCTCAGCCTTTCCTCCCAGCAGAGCTGCTCCATCCCTCTGATCCCCTTGGTGTCCCTGCTCTGGCCTGGCTCCAGCAGCTCCCTGTCCTTGCTGTGCTGGGATCCCAGGGCTGGATGCAGCCCTGCAGGGGGGTCTCAGCAGAGCGGGGCAGAGGTGCAGAATCCCCCCTGCCCTGCTGCCCTGGGGCTCTGGGTGCAGCCCAGCACAGGGGGGCTCTGGGTTGGGGCAGGGCCAGCTCTCACCCACAGCACCCCCAAGTCCTTCTGCCAGGGCTGCTCTGGATCTGTTTATCCCCAGCCTGGATTGATCCCAGGTGCAGCACCAGCGCTTGGTCCTGTTAAACCCCATGAGATTCCCATGGGCCACTTCTGGAGCCTGTCCAGGTCCCTCTGGATGACATCCTTCAAGTGTAATCCATGCCTTTGCAAAGTCTTCTGTTAATGGTTTCACTGATTCCTTGCAGATTGGTTGTCTGTTTGCTCCTCGTGCATTATCAGTGAGGTTATCATAAGGCAAAGATCAGTGTTCCAGCTCTCATTATTTCTGAAGAAAACAGAATTTAGCTTTGATTCAGAGCCTCTTTAAGTGTGTGATTATTTCCTTCTGTAATTTAAAATGTCCAAAACCTTTATTTCCCAGGTCTATATTGGTTATTCTCAGATATTCTGTTAATATGAAAATCTGTATCTCTAAAGTGGCTAAATTATAAAGACATATCTTAATGCTTATTCAGAGACATGGGATTTAGTAAGGTAAACAGATCTTTTCCCATTATTTTTCCTACAGAAACAAAAATGCCCGAATGCCATTTACTGAGGTCAGTTGCATCAGAAGTTCCATAAACTGCTCTTTAATTTTCAACAGAGGGGTTGGGTGTAATTTGCTCTGAGCAGATAGATTTTTCTGCCTTTCATGTCAGATCACTTTCGTTGTCTCAACCTTCGTTAACCAAACAGACTCAAAGCATATCAGTGCAAACCACAAAGATGAAAACAGGATGTTACCACTTCTGGTGACCCTCTGAACAAAACCCTGCTCTTTGCATTTAAAACACTTTGTCCTGCTGCTTACAGAGAATTTCTGTTCTGTCTCCACTCAGGTGTGACATTGTTCTCTTGAGAAGCAGCCAAAAAGCTGTGATAAAAAAAAAAAAAAAGAACTTTTTTGGGTTGGGGCTGTTTCTGATGTGCTGAATCTGTCTTCACACCCCCAATATTTGTAACACTTGTGTGCATTTAAATGAAGACTTGGACCATGAGTTTTTCTGTACATTTGGGATATTAAAAAACTGAAATTTCTTTTTCTTGTGTTTTGTATTTCCCCCATTATTTGTTTTTTTTTAATTGTTTTTAAATATAACTCAAAATTTAAAGGTTTAAAGGATTTAATTTTTCTAGCCTCAGCTGAATAAGAGCATGGAAGGACTTAACTGGCCTCAAGTGTAAAAGAATCTACATGGTCCTTAGTGTATTAAAGCCCTGTTTAATGCTCAGGCATCTCAGTGCCTTCACCAAATTCTTTTTCATACTGACAGCCCTTGGGGACATTTACAGTACTCCAATGTACAAAGAAATTGTGAGAAATAGAACTGATTGAAACCCAGATGATATTTATCTGCTTGGTGATAGACCATCTTGTAGAGCCAAAGATGACAGATTCTCTTTCTGTTTGCCTTCTTGAACAGATGAGAGATTTGTTACACATTTTTTTTTTACTTCCAGTAAATCTGTGTAAGTCTTCCTTTCATTTTATTATCTTTGCAGGATTAATTAAGCTGAAGATTCTAAAGAGTTATAATCAGGCAGTTCTTTCAGAAATACCTTGTGAAGCCCATCCCAGCATAAAGGTTAGTAGGTAGGTGACTATTTTTTAGAATGTTGAAAGTCTGTAACTATGTAGGAAGTTAACATTAGAGGGCATAATAACATCAAGTTACTATTCCCAATGCAGTGGAAGTCTGTGGCTAGCACTTGTATTTGCAAAGTATTTGCATGTCAGAAGGTCAGATGACAAATGCGAGCAAAATATCAAGAACGGAAAACAAAAAAGGAATTTAATAAGCCTTAACCATCTTAACTTTTGTAAAGTATTAGCAACAACACAGCCTCACTCTAATGCATTTTCACAGATCAGTGGCTTATAATGTTAGTAAGTATTTCTTGCATTATTTAATTCAGTTATAAGCTTTAGCATACAGTTCTGCAGATGTTTGCAATCATTTTTCTCGAGCATAAGTTAGCCCCTCCCTGGGCAAAAGTCATGTTGATGCAATTTGTGAGTGGGGTTCACAGCTGATTGTGAGTCTCTGTCATGATTTCATAAGGAACATAGTTGCCTGTAATTCAAAAATATAAGAATGGGCAAATCTTACTCAGCCCTGCGAGGCACATCTGGAGCGCTGTGTCCAGCTCTGGGCCCCTCAGCACAGCAGGGCCATGGAGCTCCTGCAGCGGGGCCGGCGGAGGCTGCAGAGATGATTCAGGGCCTGGAGCATCCCTGGCAGGGAAAGGCTGAGGGAGCTGGGGCTGTGCAGCTGGAGAGGAGCCCCAGCTGAGAGGGGCCCTCAGCCCTGGGTGTCCCTGGCTGCAGGGAGGGCTCCGAGCAGGGCCCAGGCTCTGCTCTGGGGGCCCAGCAATGGCACCAGAGCCACGGGCAGGGACTGAGCCCAGGAGGTTCCACCTGGGCAGGAGGCACAACTTCTGTCCTGGGCAGTAACAGAGGACTGAGGGTGTGGAGTCTTCTTCACTGAGAATATTCCAGAACCATCTGGACATAATCCTGTGCCCTATGCTCTGGGATGGCCCTGCTGGAACAGGGAGATGGGACCAGATGATGCACTGGTCCCTTCCAACCTTATACTTTTTTCTGGGATTCCTTGATCTTCCCCAGCATATCTAAGTCAAGAAAAGGGATGCATTCAGGACAAAGTAAGGAGAACTGCATAGATCCCAGAAGATAGAGGCATAAATGGAACTCCCCAGGAACTTAGAATGCTATGGTGCTTCCCTGTATTGAAAATATGCAGCAACTGTCCAGTTTTCAGGAAGAATTTCTTCACATAAAGGGAGATTGGACATTGCAATGGGCTGCAGAGGAAGGTGGTGGAGTCACTGACCCTATGAGGGTAATGAGGCACAGGTTGCCCAGAGAAGTTGTGGCTGCCCCATCCCTGGAAGTGTCCAAGGCCAAGCTGGACGAGGCCTGCTGTGTCCTCACACATATGGGTACAGAGTTTTAATACACATCTCCATCCTCACAGGGAAGAATTTCTTCATAACATGCAATCTAAACCTACTCTCTTTCAATTTTAAGCCTTTCCCCCATGTCCTGTCACTCCATGCCCTTGTAAATCTCTGATAGCATCTAGAAGTCCTGCAGTGATTTTAGGTAGAACTCAATTCCCTTGTAAAAAAATGTTCCCTTTGGCTGTGTTCACATGGCTGTGGAGGTGTAACCATGAAGCTACTGCCAGATTTTGGGAAGGCGGGCCAGCTGTTTTGCTTGAGAGAAAGATCATTAACTGAAACTTTAAGCTCATTTTTCTGCCACGTGGATGGATTCTGGTGCTCCCACTCATTGCACCTGCATGTCTACCTGCACAAAACCTGCTCTAGGAAGGCTGAATCTTGCCCATAAATCAAAGGCAGATGAGATATATTTACCCAGAGTTGGCTGCAGTTAGGCTACCTGCAGAGGAACTGCAAATGTGGAGAGCTGCCAAAGATCCTGGGAACATTCAAACCAGCAAGAGAGACATGTAGCACTGAATAGTTTGGAAGTGATCATTTTAGGAAGAATCATGGCCAGTAGGAGATGGTTTTCCACCTCTGATTTGGGTGGGGGGTTGTGTGTGGGAAAAAGTCTCCTCATGATGGATAATTCTCCTCATCCATCACCTTTGTGCCCTGTACCTTCATTACCCCAGTGAGGTTGCAATAATAAGTGATAATGGAGAAGATATTCCCTACTGAGCTATATCCCCTTTGGAGCTTGTCTGAGATCAACTCCTCCTTCCACTTTCCTCATTTGCTTTGATTCATCTTTCTTGCCAAAGAAATTTGGAGGCAGATTTTTCCAGCTGCTCCCAAAAGAGTGGGGAAGCGTGTTATTGAAGTTGATGGGAAGCATTCTGTCCTCCACACATCACAGCCTGTTCCTAAGTGGGAACACTGCCTAACTCCCAAATTTTCATCCATATCATTCCTGAAACATGTTACCCAGCACATACTGCCAGTAACTCCTCTCTACACTTTTCATTTC